ATCGAGCTTTTATCACTCTCTCTCTTCCATTTATTCACCTTCTTTCATGTATAAAGTCATGTGGTTAGGGATAGTTCGACCTGAGGGAGGAACAATGCATTTATACCTTTAAAAATGTACCTGTTTGAGGTACCTATCAAATCCAGTTTCTCCTAGTCTTCCAAACTATTGCTTGAACACAACCACTTGAACCTGGACTTAGTTCATAATCGGAAAATTTTAAAGATGTTTTTCTTCTCTTGGCCCTTTACACTGTATTTTAATTGATGCAAATAGCAAAAGCAAGGCAAAAATATTTAACAGTCTGTCCAAAAGTACTGCTTCTTCACTACTTGTATTTTTACTTCTTTGTTGGATAACTCATGACACCACACAGACTGAGCAGTTCAAGGCAGGTTAGAGCAGAGTTACTCATTTATCCAATTAAAAACTGTTCTTCTCTACACCCACAACTGAAAAATCTGTGCCTCTCAGTCAAGTAGGGGTGGACACAAGGCAGTGTTCAGCAAGGACAGGACTGTTCTCCATCATGGGAGTGGTGACACTGGACTGCTTCACCCTGGAAAAGCAGATGGTACAGTGGGTTGATACACCTTATACAAGACCTGCTACATTCTCCCTCTGAGCTACTTCCAAATCTGGGGCCTGCAGGCTGAGTCTTTAGTTAGCAATGCATCTAATACATGTGCAAACATAAAAGGAATCTTTCCCTGCCTTTCTTCTCAACTTACAGAAATATTCTAATTAGTTATTTCAGGTGGGAGAAGGGGAAGAAATTTGGAGCAGGGCAAATATGTGACTGTTGACTTTGCAGTAGTTCTGTCAAAAAATATATTCTACTTTTAATACACACCATTTGGAAAGCAAAGCCCCTTTTAAAATGCTTCAGAACTCATGTCCTTTTTAATTGCTTGGAATTCATGGTGGCTGTGTGAGAAAGCCATAAACATATACAATCATAAAAACACATTTAGACAACCCAAACAGAATCAGTGCCATATTATTTTTGTTTATTATTCCTAGTGGAGTACAGATTGGTCTTCCTACTTTGATATTTATTTATACCAAGGAACTACAAGAACATAAATGCCACTCTTGGGATAATCCTAATGCTGGGGCCGAACAGAATATGCATTGCATCTGTCTCATTTGCAGTAAAATGAAGGAGTGTTTAGGTGTAATCCTGCTAATGAAGGACAAAGTTGAAGGTCAAATGTAGTTTTCAGAATGAATGTGTCACTGTGAAGCTGAGAGAACTGTAATTCTGCATTAAAAAGTTTTCTTAAAATATCAAATAACTAAGAAGAGGAAAAGGAAAATGTAGCTCTTTGGTTTTATTATTCCTTTTTCTTTGAAGCCACTCAAGGATTGTGCTTGAGACTTTAGTGCTCATATGAAAAATTAATGATGGGTTTTTGCTAGACAGAAAGCCTTCTTATTTTGCACATGATTAACAAAGAAAACTCAATGCAAAAGTGAGACACTCAGCAGGGGGTGGTTCTCTCAGAGTCCAGCTCACAGCTTCACACCACAACATTTATTGACACGGGAAAATACCCAGTTTTATCCAAAGACAGTCAAACAGGATATGTGCAGGGCTGTACGTACTGAATAACAAGGAACAGATTCTCCACAAAGGAAAATGTCAACCAAGATAAACAAACAGCCTCGCAGCAGGCTGACCCTGCCGTGCCTCTGGGCTGTTTGGAGTCTACTGCAGAGCCAACTGCAATGTTAGTCTTTTGCTAGTTATTGTCAGGAAGTAGATTATGAGCTGAAAGGCTGGAGGGTGACTTCAGACAGTCTGCCTGTAGCAGAAGAAAAGCCAAGGACATGTAGGTAGTATATAACACATGCAAGCCAGGTCTGCACTCTGCTCACATGCCACTGTGATTTGATATTCCTCACCTACAAAGAGCTCAGGTTTTTTTGGGGGGGAGGGGCCTGGGTACTTTTCCCACAGATCTTTTCCCACAATGTAAAACCACAGAGTAAGCTCACATGAGCTTTTCCAACTGAAAGCATCCTGCTTTAACCCTGTCATTCCTGTGTACATCCCTCAATTTCTAAACCTTCTTGTTTTGGTCTAGTCAGCTAACTCTGTGCATTTTCTGGGATTCAGAAGGGCCATCTGCTACCCACACAGTCAAGAGGAAAGCCACACACACAAAAAAAGGTATAAATTTTACAACTTATAATGGAATTACTGTCAGTTTTACTTATTTTAAGCTTAAGAAAAGAGAGACATCTGTTACTAGTATGTATTTATGATTTGTCCCCAAATACAGGAGACTTCCATAAATCTGTTAAAAATAAAGGTGCGCTGTAAAGAGCTGAGTGGGGTTATAAATCTCAGGTCAGACTTGAGGTTTCAAGTGTGAAGAATGAAGCAGATCACTCTGGACAAACTGGACCAGAAAGCTTTCTTTTCTTTTTTTGCTATACTAGAAAATGGAGAATGACATTCATCCTCACACTCCCCGCCCACCCCCAGCACCCCCTGCTAAATACTGCCATTATAAACTACAAGCTCTATTTGTATGTAGGTGCCAAAAGGAGTTTTGAAAATACTATGCATAAGTACTCAGTAAAGGCACAGAATTACTCTCAAACAAAAGAACTCTTCCATGTAGAAACTTGTTATCCTTAAAACTTCATTCCCACAGGCAGCAAGGATGAAGGTTTCCCATGCAATCTGGAGTGACTCTTGCTTTTGAAATAAGGCAATCTGGAGAACGTTAAAGTTGGTAAGAACTGGTCTTTTGCAGGAGGATGCAAGGCAGGGTGTTTAAGTTATAATTTCTAAACGATAGGGAATCCGTCACTCTATGTATAAAAAGATATGAAGTCACAAATAGTGCACCTGATAACAGCAGTTATGAGCTTTCCTGAAAGATTTCATATTTTGTCTGATTTAGTTACAGTTTGTTTGCCTGAGCACTTCTTTTGAAGTTATCTACAGTGGTGGCACCAAGGTGCAGTGGCTAGTGTACAATTATAGAACCAGGTTGGCAGACTGATTGAACTGGCTAGCTGCCATTTTCACAGCAACTATATTTTTTTCTAGTGGATTTTAGATCAGATCCCTGCAGGAACAGATTGAGTGGAGTTTTTATATTGTTATTATGAATGTTTTGATATTGCAGTAATGATTTTTTGATATTTGATAATAAAGCCTTGAGATTATAGCAGTGGAAGCCTCAGAGTACCTTTCATAATCTATTGATTTTGTAGGATTTCCATGGTGCTTTTTTTTCTTAGCTATCATTGGTTGTTCATTTTTAAATTATTTTTGTGGGGATTTCTCTCACTACTTTTGCCTGCCACACAGTGCTGCTGTGTATGAAGTATATACAACCAATGCACTTACATTATCCTGTCAAGTGCTGCTAATCAAATACAAGGCAGCACAGCCCAAGTTTGGTCCTGCATCACTAAACTCAGGGAAAGCTTTACTTCAGCTACATTAAATAAAGGATCAGATCCTATCTGAGAACAGCTGGATGTTTTTGATACAGTGAGGTTTTATTCCAGTTTGTAACTAAAAATTTAGACAGCTAGTAGGTTTTAGGACTGAACATAAATTATATCCCTAAATTGTAATCTCTCTAGAACAGGAATGGTATTGCTGTGTGTAATCTGCAAAACATCCTGACTATTTTGGCAGGGAAGGCAGAATTTGATGACAGACTTGTAATTGCAGCTGTGAAGCACAGAAGTAGAGATGTGCCTGGGAGGGAGAGGTGCCCTGCACTCCTGGGAGCCTCCCACTCATGGGAGCAGCTGGGTCACTGTTGCATCCTTGCCAGCCAAGAAGCTGTTTCTGCTCTGACTTGTTCAAATTTAGCCTCATGCTGATGAGTGGCCAGTCTTGGTTTGTCCATCAGCTGCTGCCAAGCAAATGGCACTGGCTGTATTTCCCTCACCTTTGCTCAGCAAAAGCTCTAATTTGTGTGTCCTTCTGCTCCCCAACCAAAAGTGTCCATGAAGTCTTACAGGCATGTATTTATTCTTGAGACTTACAAAGATTTTTTACTCTGACTGAGGTTGACTGACAGGCTCAAAGGTTCCTGTAAGGCAATATGACAGAAAAATAAGAACAGACAGACAGACAGTAATGGCATGACCCTCATTTCCTTAGGAAATCAAGCTAAAAATGAAAATGTAACCTCAGACCCTTTGCTGAGGGCTTCCCTTTCGAAAGCCAGGATGAGAACAGATATATTCCAGATCAGAAGAGACATGTGGAGATTACTGTATTCTTGTGACTATATTAAAGGAGTCAAGAAAAGAAAGTAATTGTGAATAACTTTTAAGTCCTCTTAAATCACCATTATTATTAAAATTATTAATAACAATGTTATTGTATTTACTTTTCAAAGGAAAAAATGGTCTCATGGTACAGGTTAAACCAGAGAGGGCTACCTGAGGGACAGAATGCAGAGGTGCTCCCCTGCACCTGCTCTCTGCCCAAGGGACAGACTGAGGAGTGGCTGCTGTCCTGTACTGCACTGGGCTGCAAACCATGCAGCAAGTAAAAACAAGTGAAAAAGGAAGCTGGTATCAGTGCCCCTTCCCTAGGGAAGGTATGCATACAGCAGAGAGGTGTTCCATTTCTGTCTCATGTAACAGAAGCTGTGTGCAGCGAGCTCAGGAGAGGAAAGCTCCATGTCCTACCCAGACTACCCTCACCTACAAATTGTAGTAGCTCACAGGCAGTTTGTAACCATTCAGGTGAGTGATCTGTATCTGTATGACTTTTAAGTTTCATTGAAGCTCTTCAGTCAATTCACCAGTGACCTTGAGAGATCCTCTCAGATGGGCTGGCAATTGTATTGTTGATGCATTTCCATACAAGGCACTAAACCCTTACATATTGGAAAAGTCATTTGGTCTGTCAGAACTTGCATGGAAAAATACAAATATTTCATAAGGACAAGTGGGCAGATTATTCTCAGGGTATTGATTCCACATTTTGGTTTGCTGAAAACCTACTGCTAAATAGACCTCCCTACTGGAGAGACTGAGCAACATGGCCATTTCAGGGGGAGACTCTGGGGATTTATTGATTGGACGTGAGAATACTAATCATGAAATAGCATAGCTTGAACATGCTTTTGTGACTACCATTTGCATAAAAAGGTAACACTTCAGTATTGGGAAGGCAAGACATTTCAGAACATTAACAGTAGCAGTCTCAGATCGAGTCATATTCCTTACCAGTTCTTCAGGCTTCTCATTTTCCAGGGTCTAGAGAACTGGGACAACACACATATAATGCTGTCTGTAACAAGTAAGTTATCAAATACATTTGCTATACTGGACAGATACTGAAAATGAAACTCCTATCTCCAGCAAACCTAGAGAGTAATGTTTTCTCTCTCAAACTTACTGGAAAACTGCATACACTTTGGATTTTGAAATAGCTTTCTGTTTGAGTCTTGTAATCAAGAAGTTAATTAATTTCAATCAATTTTTGTAATCAAACACTTTAAACTTTCCTTCCTCTTTACATATTAATTTTGTCAGCTTGAAGTATTCAAAACTCAAAAATGAGGAACCCCTTAAAATTTTGAGCAAGACTACACTGTTATATAGTTTATCATATTTGTATATTTTGCCCTTTATCTTTCTGTTGTGTTAGGGGGTTTTTTGTTTGTTGGGTTTGGGGTTTTTTTTTACTTTACTTTTTTAGAGTAGCTCATCAAAGACAGAACGTGCATCTTCTTAGGCACTTGCTAGTCCTCTGCTTTGTCAGTGGACCCCCACTGGCAGCCCCAACAAAAGGATTGCAAGCTATCTGCAGAGGACAGGCAGTTATATAGGCCTAAATGGGCTTGGAGGACTTATGCCTGTATTTTATCTGGCTTGGGGCATTTCTCTCTCGTTGTACCACTCGTTGGCCACACCAGCCACCCCGGGAATTTCAGAGGTCAAGATGAAGAAAACAGGCACCCAGCTTGAAACCTGGACCCCAACAAAGCATTCACTACCTTTTCAGAAGTATCAAGACGTAAAGGCTGAGACAAATAATATTTTAGGTTTGTTTGTGCTAGTGATGTAGGCTAGACCCAATGAAAGATCTAATCTATGCTTCTATGCACAAGTGGATGCAAATTGCACTGATTCAGTGCAGAACACAGAACGCTGGAGTTTTCTGTGCTGCTGTACATTTGGATATGTCAAAAGCAACCAGTATGAAGACACTGCACTTTAAGTAACTCCTAAAGTGTAGTACAATTTTGTTTATTAAGGTAGAAATCAGAATGGCCCAGCCTGAGCTCTTCTACTTTAGATGCAAACCCCTCTGATTATGGGCTGATAGTATGTTATACCTTGTGCCTGCTGTTCTCAGTTCCCTGCAGATGGGATTCAACAAGGTACCTCAAGCACCAGTAACATGAAGTACTCCACTAAATAGGGTCCTGAAAGACATCAGACCCTTAAAAGCCAGTTTGGCCTGCTGAGAGATGAGCAACTGATGAGAGGATCCAAATCGTCAGTTCAGTGAGAGAATCTTTCTATTGTAGGGATGAAAAGCTCAGGGGATCTCACTCATGCTCAGTGGTCTTGTAATTAAATGTTACACACTTGATGAGCATTACATTGCAAGCCTCAAGGCTAATTTACATGTTACCACCAAAATGTCTTATTTTATTTTGCTTGTAAAAATACTGTGCAGGCATCATTGCATGTCATTGCAAATGGTTTGTATCAATGATGCTTGGGTGACTCAAAATTACTAAAAGCTGTACATAATTACTGCTAAAAAGCCCCATGCAGAACCAATAGTACTTCCTCTACAATAGATATTTTATGACTAAGAAGGCTTTCCTGATGTGACAATGTTAGGATCACAAACAAGCAGCCTGCCAGCAAATAAAGAATAGCATTTTGGGGAAACAAAATAGTTTGATTCAATTATAGTACTACATGTATCATTAAAGTGTATGTTGCTTTTCTGAGAGTTGTCCATTAATTCAAAACAGGAAGGCAGGGTGGGAGGAAAGAGAGAAAAATGAAAATAGGTAGGAGCTTCTTGTAAGAATGGTGATAGGTATGATGTCAATATAAGATATTTACTGGCATATTTTAATGCTTTATGTTGTAAAAGTTGCTGTTACTGATTTGGGCCACATGACTCGTGTCACTCTTTACACAAGATAAGGGAAAGGAGATGAAGCTTCTCAAGACTCTGGGATCCATTTAGTACATACTCCTGTATCAGTTTCTTGGTCGGGGGAGGTCATTCCACAAGAAGCATTTCAATGCACACATATCAGATGGACTGAACGGCCGTTTCTTACAATTCTCTATTTCTTTTATACTTGACTGACTTTAAAGCAATGCTAAAGCACTGCAATCATTTATTGGAATATATTAATAATAATAAATTACAGTTTCATTCACTGAATTCCAGCTCTTAGAAGAATAAACAACCTTGTGCAGATGCAGAAGAAAGGCAGAGAAATATTAGATGACTTACAGTCTGCAGCAGGTGAGTGAAAGAATTAGATACAGAACCTCTGGCCTCTGGCCTTTCTTTCAAATAATCTTTCCTGTGTTTGTGCCACAGTAAAATGATTTTGCATATGTCCTGTCTCAGAAATATGAAAAATATATGCAATATGCAAAGCAGCCAATTGGGCTGCCTTTTGGAATATATCATCATTTATGAAGGGTGCATCTTGAAGCCTAAACAGATTGTGTGCAATTAATTGCAAACTGTCAAAGAGACTACAGCACTTTACTGCCAATTTGTAAATAAAACCTACTATGCAAAAGGACGGAGGCAAGTGAGGTGAATTTCTCTGGATAAAGGAAAGGCAATGCACAAATGCAGTGCAACACAATTTTTACACTCCAGCCTTTAAGAATTTTGCTGACCCTGTAAGAAAATGGTGTGGTGCAGAGTCATTGAATGCAGGTAAGCTTCTCCATAGGTAAATATTTTACATAACCTAAATGAAGAACTCCCAGCTTACTTGATAGAAGAATAAAGAAGTCACCATGTGCAAAAAGAAAATTGTTCTTTTTAGTAAAATCTTGGAAAATACATGAGCATATTTGTACCCTAAAGATGTGCTGAACAATGGTGATGATGATGTGCAAACAAAGCAGATTCCCTTTATGTCCCGATTATGACCCTCAAATGATCTTTGTTATAAATATACTCATCCTGGTGACTGGCCAATACCTGACTGGACTCCTTATCCGGTGCTGTCTAGCTCCCTTTGTATCACTGCTGTTACCATCCTACAGCTCGTTGTTCCCCTCATAATATTCAATAAATACAATATGTTTGGTGCCACTGCTGATCTGCTGAGCCAGTCAGTGGCCAGCCCAGTAACTCAGTCTTGGTCTCAGCTTCAGAAGAAAAATGATGATGGCTGTCTTTCTAAGTTTGAAACAACCCCCCGGTGAACAGCATCACAAATGTGATACAGACCCTCAGTAATTACTGAAACAGCAGTTTGTCACAAGCTGCCTGCAGCACTGATGGACAATCTGCTTGTGGATATAGTTAGAGGAAGGAATGTGTAAGAAAATATGATATTTGTGACAGGCTTAACTTGGATTTTTTGTTTCAGGGGATGAAGCGTACATGTGGAGGCAGTGTTGATGAAGAACTAGGTACCCATTTGCATCAACAATTCTTTCCACCTCTCTGGTATTTAATATATATGCAAAATTTACTCCAGTGTAAATAAGAATTTGGCTCAAGTAGCAACCACATCTACATGAAGTGCATTTAGTATCTCCCCTAAGTTCACATATATCACCAGTTTCCAAAACAAGTAGATTTAGCCCTTGAGGAAGAGCAGATCTGCCTACATAGCCCAGTCACCCTTCACACTGGTACCATGGAGGGGGGTCCTTGTGTTGCTCAGCAAACAAAAAAATCCCTTCTCTACTCCCCTGAGCCTTGTAACAGCCCAGAGCTTCCTGCAGCATAAAGGTACTTCCCTGTGCTCTGTGCATCTGAAAAGAAATGGAAATCTAAAAGTCCTCTTCATGTGAAACAGTTCTCTTTATTCTTTTTCTGCCCTAATCTTGTAGTGCAATTGCAGCTCCAGAAATGACAAAACATCTGAGTCCACCGAGGTGAGGTAAATTCAAGGTTGAGAGATGATGAAAGAAAAAATGGACTCTTAGTCCGATAGGCTTTGGATGGAGCTTTACAGGGAATCAGGACACCAAAGGATGCTGTTGTAGGGGGCAGCTGCCTATGTCGGGGAAACACAGGTCCAGCTGTCTGGAAAATCAGAAATCTAGAATTGAGAGGAGGGAATGCACTGCTTAGCCCCAGCCAAATTAACAATGACTTTTTGTTTCACAGCTTAATATTTAAGCAATGTTGTTCCAATTAGTCAATTGAAGACATTTTGTCTTCTATGAGAGGTATCCTCTCCTCCTCGACTTCCAGGATTTTTTTTAAAACTAGATTGCACTTGGCTCTAGGTACAGAAGATTTCCTTCAGAAATCTTTGCTGAGTCGATGGCACAAACAGCTATGTTCCTCCAGACTTTATTAACTCAAACTGTCAAAATCTACGTGTCCACCTCCCCTTGTTTGTTATTTTGTTTGTTGCAGTGCTGGAGATTGCTCGTGTTTCGCCAGAAAAGGCTCTCCAGTCTGCAGCTCTCGGATTTTCCCCTCTCGTGTCACTCAAGCAAACTGCCCTGAGCTTCCCTGCCACCGAGGTCGGAGCAGAGCCACCGCAGCCCTCTGGCCCCCGCCGGGAGCCCGGCACACCAGCACCCGCTCGGAGTCCCGGAGCTGTGGGGGCACACACAGACACACACACACACACACACACACACACACACGAGCTGGGCTCCCCAGCGCTGCCGAGAGCCAAATGGGATTTTGCCTGAATGAGTACTGGGGGTGGGCTCTCATTCAGAGCCACAAACAACTCCTTAAAATACCACGAGTGCATGGAAGATGGAAATTTCCTATATTATGATTTCAGAAAGCAGCAGATGAACACTGGACATAATGACAAGTCCCCCCCGCTCTGAACAGCTCACTCAAACCCACTGAGCCTTCTGAACAATCCAGCTTCAGCCCTTGACTGTGTTCATTACATTATTTTGATGCACTGTGATGAATGCAAGAGATCACTATACATTAAAAGCAGAGTTCAGTAACCAGTATGGAACAGTGTCCATATGCTGGCTGACAGCTTTACCCTACAGTTACTGGGCTAGTAGTTTTCAGCCAAAAGTCAGGAGAATTTGGTAGTCAAGGTTTTGCCCTCCCATTCCCCTCTCTCTGCCACTGAAGTAATATGAAGTAATAATTTTCAACTGAATATTTTTAAGTGTTATCTGTATCCGTAGTTGCCAGTAAGAGCTCAACCCCGTTCCTCTTACCACCACCTCTGCAGATGCTCCTGGAAAGTCAGCAGGAGACCTCCACCACCCCTGGCTATTGCCAGCAGGACTCTGAAGTGTTCCAGCTCTGGTGAGGTACCAGTGTGTGATGAGGAGCACTGATGCTTTCCTGGGATACCACAATGTATGTTATGTAGTGCTTGTATGTCACTAAGATTTTGGAGGGTAGAATAGAGAGAGCCTATTATTTTCCTTAGAAATAGTTCTCCTCCTCTGTCGTCCCTCGACATCTACCCCTCACAACAGGCTTGTGGTGCAATATGCACTGCTCTCCTTCTCCTTTTAGAAAAGGCTTCCAGAAGGATACCGACAGCACTGAAATCCCACTTGCTTTGCTTGGTTTTTACCAGCCCTACTCAACTGCCCTGCAAGAAGAGAGAGGAATATTTTCCCTGCTCTCTGGAGTAAAGTCCTCCATTACCATGTCACGAAAGAAAACAGGCTGCTTGGTAGCTAAGGAAAAATGCTGACTTTAAACCTGAGATAAGGCTCTATCATTTGCACTAATGAGCTCACTGGTGGGGAATTTGTAAAATATTATGATTAAAAAGTAGCTGTAGTCAGTGTTCAATGGAATTTACTGTTTTACTTTTTTGCTGAAAATAGACATAAGTACTAATAATTTTCCCATTCAAACCTAGAGAGAAATAACTGCAGCGAGAATTGTCCCAGTAGAAGTTCAAAGATCTTGTAAGTAATCCATTATTATAAAGATTTATTTTTTAACCATGGGTTGGTCTAAATTCTTCTGGGAAGGCTACAGACTTTACTGGTTGAATAACAAATAAGTTACTCAGAAGAAGCCCTGAATGAAATATTAACATTTCAGGATTTTAATTGCTGGTAACTTATGGTTACAAGTTAACCCCCTAGATCTGCTAGTCATCATTGTCCTGTCAGATTTTGATTTCTGATGGAAGTCTGCCCTGGGATGCACCCTGGGGTTGCCCTGTAATGGTCTCTGTGCCAGGTACCACATATGTCCAATATCTGCAGTGAAAAAGAGAAGGTATTTAATAGCCTTTGTTATCATACAGTGTCAGAGCAGTAAATGACAACTGTTAAGGGAATCTCCCAGCTACTGTAGGTTACAAGGACTGAACCATTCTGTTCTGAGCCAGAATAAATGAGTATGGCTGGAGAAAGCAACTCTGCCATAAAACTAGCAAAAATGGAAGAAAGCAAAGGGGTGAGAGTAAGCAAAGAGGAATAAAGACATCTCAGCTAAAGGGCTGGAAAACTCTCTCAGTTTGGCATCCATATGAGATATGAATGTTTCCAGCATGTTTTTCCTCCCTCTCTGGTTTTGGGGGTTTTTTTGATTGGTTTTTTTTTATTATTTGTTTGGCTTTGGTTGGTTTTTCAGTCACTGGTTCAACACCTGGAAAAGCTGGCCAGAGATACAATTCAGTGCATTGTCTTCATTGCCTGTGACCACTCACTGCCGCATGCAGACAAGAAATAAGTCCTCATGAAATATTCCATGTGCTGGTTGTACCCCTGCAGCCTTGTTTTCTGCCTGGGGGTATCTGTGTTTCTGCAGTGCTGTCTCAGCCACCGCATTCTCCTAATGGTTGTGGCTTTAAGTCATCACTTTGATAGCAATTTGGGAAGGGGTGCTGGGGTGTATGATAGACACTAATCCCAGACAAGGAACAGCTGAACAGGAAGCAATGAACATGGTGACTTGGTTGGGGTTTAATGCTGATGAAAAGGACAAAGGGGAGAAAGCATGTAGCAGACAGGAGAAAAGTGTACGGAATGGATACAAGAGGGAGAGCTGGTTTATGGGCTGTCACTGACATGTTTTCCAACTCCGTGAGTCCTGCAAGCACTAAGAATATGACAGACCAACAAAAAGGATCAGTGTGAGAGACTATGAGAAGCTTGTCTTGTATGCAACTGATCACAATTACTATAATATCTCAAGAACACATTGCATTTTTTCACAAAAATATTGTCAAATCCAAGGCTACTGTATCTTTGTCTTCATATGGCTCAAGAGATTTGAATTTTCTGGTACCTAAAAGTTTGTCTGCCTGTCTCCTTCCTTCCATCCTGCTCATCACTTCGTACCCAATACAGAAGTGCTGAAGTGTTGCTGTTGCTGCTTTTTCCCAAGAAGAGCAGCCACTAGAGGGAAAGATGCACACAGAAAAAGTTCCCCTCAGCACCTCTGGGGCTTCCTCCGTAAGGAAAAAAAAAATCAGAATTTTATCCAGCATTTGTAAGGTGGCCTGGTTTATCCTTTCAGACAAAGTATATTGAATGAGATTATTTTTAGTATTGCAGTTGCACCATACACCCTGAAACATAGCCAAAATTAAGGGCCAGGAAAAAAAATCATTGGCTAAATTACACAGAGGAGATTGGATTACCTGTTCAAACAGAGCTCTTAATTCTGTGTATAAATAGAATCCACAAATACAAGTGCACTGCAGTAGAAAATAAGGCCAGCCAACAGCACCTAATAACCCTTAATTATTAGGAGTTTCAGTTAACATTTGGACAGCTTTGGTCTTAATTCTTTTAAGTTTGAAGAGGCAGCATGACCGAGGTGGCCCGATTTACAATTACAGTGAGCACACACGCTGTTCCAGTCCATGTTGGCTTCAGCTGAGTGTTCTCTGGCAGCTTGGGTTGGGATTTTGCCCTGTTAAAATATAATTACCAATCTGAATGGGAACTAATTTCCAGTTTGAGTTATTCATTTGTAACAATGCACTTGTTCTGACAGAAGTCTGTGACAAGAAAAACAAATCAAGCTTCTGACCTTGGCATCATCGCTCACTTAGGAATTTTTTGTACCTGAAAGAAAATCTGCTGATATCCCAAGCAAGTAATAAATCACCTCACGTCATCAGTAAATACAGCTGTAAAACAGACATCTCAAGGTAAGACTGAAATCCAACGTTACTTTACAAAAAAAAAAAAAAAAGAAAAGCTTGAGAGTGCTATACTACACATGAACAATAATGCTTGTATAAACCAGAATGTTTAACAATTGTCTTAAGGATGGTGTTTTCAAATGTCCTTAGCAGTGAGCTAATATTCTTTCCCAGTTTTAAATTTGCCCTATGTAATATATATGGGACATCAGAAGTCAAATACTGTTTTGCAGGCAATCAGTAAAATGCAGCAGGTGACATTTATCCACTTTATCTTAATAAGCTTAATAACTTTGTTATTCTTCAAACTATACAAACTCAAATACATGTGTAGCCCAAGGATCCTTCAAGGTAGATAATCTGATATTAATTTACTGCTGCAATCCACACTTTGGTTAAGATTGTGTAACTGTTTCCCCTTTGACCTTCAGTTTGCAACTACCTGTATCCACCAAAAATTTCCATTCCTGATACTTGGGTTTGCCACTATTTTGAATGCAAAAGTTGAATTTTTATTTCAACATTTTATCACAATCTTTTTGAACATTTCAAAACACATGGAGGTTCAGGGAAAACACTAAGCTTATTTTGTTTGATATTGTCTAGCCTGAAGTGAGATCTGAAAGTAAAAATTAGAACTCTTTTTCTGTAGGAAGGAGTGCATGATTAATGTTGAGAAGCAATCTGGTTTCATTTGATCAAATAAAATCACAGAACATTTAGATATGAGTATAGGCAAATGCTCACCTGGCAGTTATTGTCAGGTGTACACCTTGGAAAGCATATGCACTATCTAGTTGTCCATCTATTGGTGGGTTTTACCCTCAGCAATGCCCTCTTTCTCCTGCAAGCACAAGTGATCATGAGAGAATTCCCTTGGCTGGTGGTGTTCTCCTCTGGCACCCGAACCAGCCTGTCTGTGCCATTTTCTGTCTTTTGTCTGCTGAGTATGACCTGCACTGGCAGGCACGTGGCACAGCAAGTCTCTGGCCTTTGTCATTCTACAGAGTGTAGAACACTACAGATAATTTCTGCTGGATGGCACCCTAGCAGTTCATCTGCTCCTGCTGTGCACTCTCTCAGTGAACTCAGTCTGCTCTTTGAGTTACCTTAACTGTTTGCTGTGGAAGCTGAAGGTGACACCATAAGCAAATCACCATAAATACATGCAAGCCTCTCTTATAACAGCAAATCAGATGATTGTACATAGGCCACAGTGTGGATCAGCAAGAGTTGTTTTGCACTAAATCTCATTTTCACACATCTTCGGACTTTGTAAGGAATCCCAGCAGATGCTTGGGAAGACAAGTATCTTAAGTTTATATGGGCATATATAAATCCTCGAATTGCTTTTTGCTGTTTATACTTCATAAGCTAATATAGCAGTGAACAAACTGCATTTTCAGAACTGTGAACAAACTGAATTTCATATAAGTTATCCAGTTATAGGCCAGACTTTGCATTTCTTACTCAAGAAGGATTAAATCAAAAGGCAAGTAGTCAGTGAAAAGGTGATTTTATACACAGCTAGCTAAACTCTTACTAAATTATTCTCTCAAAGGAAAAATAAAGGTTTCCAGTAGATTTCTCTGTACTTGTTTTTGGAGAAGCTGATGCCTTCGCCCTTAGAGGCTTTCTTCATAAGTGAAGCTGAAGTTAAATGCCTAGTGAGATTGAATTTCTAAGGACCATTTTCCTAAAACAGGATTAAGGTTCACTGATAGTTTAATGGAGGGCAGGTAATGCTGCTGCTGCTCCTGATTTAAACTGCTTTGTGGCTAAACTATATTTTGGTTTCTACAGATAACAGCTCAGGACTTCTGAGCTTTAAACTTACTTCTGGCTCTCCATAGTTTTTTTCTGGAACAAAATAAGCAACCATCTTGTGATCTGAGCAGGATAGTATCCAGTCCTGAAGCGGTTCTTCAGAAACTTAATGAAGATCACCCAATTATTTTCTTCTGTTCAGATTATTTCTATATTGTTTGTTTGCTTGTTTGTTTGTTTTCTTTGGCTGAAACATTAGGGAAGTTCTACAAACGAAGAGTCTGTGGTCAATCTGTCAACATTGGGGTTGTAGCTAGTTACCACACAATGCACAGTTTACATATTTTCTCCATAGTCACAAAAGTTTTTTCTTAAAAGCAAACATCAAAGAGCTCTGCTTGACAAATACCCTAGTTTCAGTCTAACATCTACAACATCCATTAGTTTGTAAATACTTTGACACCATTTCCATTGTATCTGATTGACAATTGCCGTTTTGTATCTCAATGACATTAACAAGGTAGTTTGTAATTGGATGGGTAACATAATTCCTGGCCCTCTGTAAACATCTGAATTTGCAGATCTCCACTCCTAGCTTGGGAGCTCTCTGCCACACATCACTAATTACGCCATGTTCTTATATATCAGTCCCTACATCCTCCTGCTGAGCCTCTCTTCTTTGTTCCCAGTACGACCCAGAGACTGTTGTCAATACAACTGCCAAGCGCTGTATGTGACATTTAATGAAAATGAAGTCATGTCTCATTTGCATGGCAGGTGTTACTTTATTCCAGCCAGAACTGCAGAAGCTGGGTGCTACAGTGCTAGTCAAGTGTGCAAGACTGATAGCCGGTGGCAACGAGGGTGTCTGGCACGGGAATCTTTACATCTCCCCCTTGCCTGTCTGCCCACCTCCTGTGTGAGGAATAGGGCTCCTGGTAAAGCAATTTGTTCATTTTTCCAGGCCCGCCTGTTCTCGTTCCTTCTGGTAACTCTGTCCATCAAAGCCCTCAAAGTGGTCAAGGTGGTTAGGGGTGGGAGGCCCACCCAGTTTCCTGCCAGGGGGGTCACCACTAAACATCAAGCAACTTCCAGCTCAGGAGGGAAGACTCTCCTGGATTCAAATACACAAGCTAAAAATAAAGAGCTCTTTAGCACAAGAGAATTGACTTCTGTCATGCACAAGAAGTGTCTTATAAGAGTAATATATGAGTATTTTTTTACATAAGAAAGAGCAATGTATGTTGAAAGAACGGGTATGGGTTTTTTTGAGTCAAGCCCTCAAAAAAATTAAAAGGGCAGAGTCTTGCTCCTTCATTTTACGTTCCCCCTTGTCATTTTGTCAATTCTGACAAGGATGTAAAATGCTCATTTTTGCTGATTTTTATTTGCTTTAGCCTTATTAGTACCCCTTAGAAATATTAATTTTATTTTAAAGTTTCTGATTCTGACTTCGAACTCACTTAAGACCGTCAACAGTACTAACACATTGCAAATCTTAAGCTTATGTCTTACATGAAGTGACTCCGCCCACTCACTTTTATCTCATTTTCTACTTCTCAGGAGAGTTTTTGTTTCTATTTTATTATCTCCCCAACTCCTCTCTGACCACTGTCCTTCCCCTATAATCATTTTGCCACTAATTTGGTTTCCAGAGCGCTTCACTGCTGAATGTCTAAAGTAGGTGCGTGGTACTTTGATCCTCCCTGAGGAGGCTCCTGATGCCATTGGTTACCGCTACATCCCGTCCCCTCAGAGCCAGCCAGTACCAACCCACGGGCAAACTCGGATACTTCGCAGACACTCTGAGTAACTTTACAGACGCACATTTAACTTAGCAGGGCAGTAATATGAAGAAAATTTTATTTAAAGCAGTTTTCAGAAAGAGAGATCGATTTCCCAGGCAAAAACTTATGCACCCCACAGTCGAACAGCACAGTAAAATAAACTAAAGCCGTTACCAAAATTCATAATGATTTGCACAGAAGCCCAGTTTGGGATGATATTCAGTTTCCCAGGGAGGATGCTACAAACTCCATGTAAGTTTCTATCTCTGAATATAAGTTTGAACTTTAGAAACAGATCTGCCAGTTAGAAAATTACTTTGTTCCAGTCGTTTGTTTCTAACGTTTCATCGGTAAATTTCTTCATTTACAATCCCGGGTGATGATTTTTTTTGACAGCACATCCAGAACGAACACTGGTCAGATGTCCACAGAGACAAAACAATCTTGGCACTTTAGGAAACAACGACAGCCCTACAACCGCGCCCCGGGCTGGACCCATCCGTGGGCAGGGCACGTAGTGACTTTCTCTAACAGCGGGGTGCTCTGCCCGCCAGGAAAGGCTCTGGACTCTGTCAAGAGTTTTTTGTTCGGGAAGCATTGCGGTCTGTTCCTCCCCGGGATGCGAACGAGACGGCTGAAGGAGACAGCGGAGCCTGGACACCCCGGGGAGGGGGACCCGTGGCGTCCCATCCCTCGGTGCACTCTCTGGCGGGGTGGGCGCGGGCTCACCCCAGGTGATGCTGTAGCTGCTCGGGGGCGGCGGCAGGCCTCTGCCCCGCGCAGCAGCACGCTCCCTTCCAGCCCGCCTCGTCCAGGAGCACCGCGGAAACCTTCGCCTGACACCCCGGTCCGCGCCGAGCTGCTCCGCGGGAGTTCCCGAGCCCCGCGCCCCCCGCCCCGCCGCTCCCCGGCGCTCCTACCTGCGCGGCGCGGTGAGGGCTGCGAGGTGCGGGGCTGCGGTGCGGTGCGTTGCGGGCGGCTGCCGGGCACCTGCTCCCGCGCCCGCGGCCGCGCCGCCCCACAAAAGCGGCGGCGGCGGGCGGCGGCGGGCGGACCGCGCGGC